GGGTAGCTCTGAAGTCCTTTGATGACCTGAATCCTGACTGTCTGGGATATGCAGGGCTTCTCTTCTCACTGGAAGAAGAGCAGTTCACCTTCATTGAGAAATGTAACAATCCCCATTCTGTCACATTACTGGTCAAAGGACCAAATAAGCACACACTGACTCAAATCAAGGATGCAATAAGAGATGGCTTGAGAGCTGTCAAAAATTCTATTGATGACGGCGGTGTTGTCCCAGGTGCTGGTGCCATAGAAGTGGCCATGACAGAAGTCCTGATTAAATACAAGCCCAGTGTGAAGGGCAGTGCTCAACTTGGAGTCCAGACATTTGTAGATGCCTTGCTCATTATTCCCAAGGTTCTTGCCCAGAACTCTGGTTTTGACCTTCAGGAAACATTAAAGTTCAAGCTGAACATTCAGAATTGGGTCAGTCTGTCCGGTGTGGATTTGAACACAGGTGAGCCAATGCTGCACAGGTGAGCAGCAGAAGTAGGCACATAGGATAACTATTGTGTGAAGAAACAGATTCTTCACTCCTGAACTGTGATTGCCACCAACATTCTCCTGGTAGATGAGATCAGAGACCTGGAACGTCCTCTCTGAAAGGCTGAGCTGTCGCTTTTATCTGAATCTGGAAGGCTACAGATGATCCAGCAGAAAAATGATCATTTTTGTCCAGGATTCAAGCGATTTTTAAAACCCAGGACGGCTTCAAATTGCTGTGTAGCTTAGGCTGATCCTTAGCTGATTCTTTTGGCATCTCTTGAGTGCCACCATACTGTCTTTATGCGATTCTGGCATCAAACTCAGTACTTCCTACATGTTAGGCATGAACTCTATCATTGAGGTACATCCCTAGCCCTATGTGTTGGGTCTGGGATGAGGAGATCCTGGCTTTCCAGTTCTATTCCTCTCAAACTCTGGCATCCAGACCCTGGCCTTCCAGGCAGATTTAGTCTTTCTGATAAATCTGATTATCCTAACAACAAACAGACAAGACACTTTCCTTTCATGTCTTTTTTTTTTTGTCTTTTTGAGACAGGGTCTCCTTGTAGCCCCAGCTGTCTTGGAACTCACTATGTAGACCAGGCTGGCCTTGAACTCACAAAGATCCACCTGCCTCTGCCTCCCCAGTGCTAGGATTAAAGGCGTGTGCCACCACGCCCGGCCCTTTCATATCATTTAAAAAAATATTTATTATTTTTATTTTATGTGTATGCATGTATTGCGTGCATGTAGGTAAGTGCACCTGTGTCATGCAATGCCTGAAGAGGCCAGAAGAGGCTGTCAGATCCTCTGGGACTGGAGTTACAGACAGTTGTTAGCTACCATGTGGGTTCTGGACTTCAAACCTGGGTCTTCTGCAAGAACAGCCAGTATTCTTAACTGCTATTCCATCTCTCCAGCTCAAGACACTTTTCTTTCTTTTTTTAAAAAAAAATATTTTATAGCTGGGCATGGTGGTGCACACCTGTAGTCCCAGCACTTGGGAGGCAGAGGCAGGTGGATCTCTGTGAGTTCAAGGCCAGCCTGGTCTACATAGTGAGTTCCAGGACAGCTGGGGCTACAGGGAGACCCTGTCTCAAATAGACAAAAAAATATTTATTATTTGTATATATGAGTGTATTGCCTGCATGTGTGTAAGTGCACCCACGCCTTACAATGCCTGTGGAGGCCAGAAATGGGCATCGGATCCCCTGGAACTGGAGTTAAGGACAGTTGTTGTCTGCCATGTGGGTGCTGGGATTCGAACCTGGGTCTTCTGCAAGAATAGTCAGTGTTCTTCACAGCTGAGCAATCTCTCCTGCCCTGACACTTTTCTTTAAATTGATACCATTTCCTTTCCTTCATGCAATATTACTGCAGTTCACTTTGCCTGAAGGGAGATTAATAAGTAAACTTGGTCACTAAACCTGTGTGGTGGTACACACCTGCAAGTCTAACTCAAGGATTCCAGGATCAGGAGGAGTTCAAGGCAAGCCTTGGTTATTGAATTCAATCCTGTCTCAAACCAAAAAAAAAA